CATGGTGCCACCTTATTGACCTGGTTTGTGCTGCCCTCTGCTCTGTTAGTGCCGTGACACGCGGGGGTGGAGGTGTGTGCCAGCAGGGACTCGGTGCCTTACCCTGGAGGTTTAATGGCCGTGCTTCTGTGGGAGACGCAGCGCTGTGCACAAAACAGGGCTTTGTAGCTGATTTACCAGAAAAGAGGTACTGGGATATCAACACAGGGATAGGGCACACGTGGAAGTGATGGATTTAAGCGTGGTTATATGTCAGGCCTTAGGGCATGTCATGCCTTAGAGTAGGGGATGTCACCTTATCCACAGCGAAGACTCGTGCCCAACATCTGACCAGCTGTACAGGATGTGTCTTGTGGTCTCCTACCTAGCCTGGCAGACACAAAATCTCCATCCAGGCTGTCTACAAAAAGCCATTCTCCAGGGCTTTCCTGGGGAAAGGGCAGGCTCTGAACTTTTCCCTGGAGGATACTCTGTTCCCTGTTTATTACTCAGCATACTGCTTTTCACCCTCGGCAAAGTATGGTTTTTTGTGCAAAGAGAACAGACCTCCCTTTGGGCAGGGATCATTTGCATTAATTAACAGAGCTGTTATGCATGGCCACACTCTGTCGCATAGGAGCCAAACAAACGCTGCCTTTTTTTTTTTTGTCATAACCTAAGAGTTATTACAAGTCAGCCACCGCATCCATTATAGCTGATGCGTAACACGTGCATTCATGCTGCTGCATGCTCCACAAAAGTGGGCTTGTATTTACTTCCCCCCACTGGAGCTCTGGACACTGCTTTAGTGTCTCTTGTGGTCCAGGCACTGTACCCCATTAATTATATCTTAGCAGTGCTCGTAGACCTTCATTTCCTGGGAATGAAGTTTCACAAGGAAATAAGGAATATTTAGTGCTGCCAGTGCAGCTGAGAGTTCAGGCACAGGGAGCAGCACGAGCAGCAGTGGGGTGTCCTTTGCTTTTATTTTTTTCCCCCCCACAGATTATATTCTGACCTGTTAAAGCAAAAGAGCTCTGATGGGAACAAGTTATTGCAGAGCGGACACTGGGAAGTGGGACTGAAGGGGCTGTACCCACTGCAAGCCTTAGGACAGAGCCATGCCAGCGCTCCCTGCGCGTCAGGACGCTGACCTTTTCCCAAGGTGGCTGGTGGGTGGGTGAGCCCCTCTCCAGGGAAGGGATTGCTGAGGCTGTAGCAAAAAAACCATCAAGCAGACTTGGTTCGGGCTGCCTGCAGCTGTGGGTCAGGGCAGCTGTGGACTGTCCCCTGAAGCGGGGATGGTCTCAGGAGCCCAGTGGCAGTGTGGTGGCTGGGATGGCATCTCCCCGCGGCCCTGCTCCCTGCTCGGTCACATCAGACCGAGTGACACAGCGATGGTGTGGCTCAGGATGCTGCGCAGCAGCGCGGGTGAGGGAGGCACTGGTGGTGTTCTGGTGGTGCTTCAGAGCTCCATGGGGTGCGTGCCAGCCCTCGCTGGTGACAGTGGGGTGGTGTGGGCAAAGAGGGGAGCGAGCAATAGCTGGTCTCTACCTCTTGGCCATGGGAATCATTGCAAGGAAAGGTAATGTCACCCTTGTCACTCCCTGCATTTGTACTTGCCCAGACTTGTGCAATGACTCAGTGGCAGGGCTGGGAAGAGAGCCCAACACTTCTGACCCTCTCTGGAAATGCGTTTGCTTACTGTGATGCCAATGCACCAGCTACGGCAACCTTCGGTCTGTTGTGCCCTCCCTCTGTGTCCCCTGACCGCTGGAGCCGAGTTGCGTGCTACCCCCCAGCCGAGGCAGCAAACCTTCCCTCACAAGTCTCCGACAGCGCGAGGAGAAGCAGTCCCATCTTCTCCCTGCTCCTCCGTCCTGTCCGGTGTTGTCCCCTCGTCCTCCCACTGCTGCGGAGCTGGGAGCTCCCATCCTTTGCTACCAGAACCCAGGAGGGCCGAGGCGAGTGCTCTCGATTAGATCTGGAGCATGACTTAAATACTGATGGGGAGAAGTATGCTCAGCAGTGTATTAAAAAGATAAACCAGCTGGAGCAGATCAGGAAAACCCTCAGGCTTGCAGCTAGGGAGGGGAATAAAGGCGAGAAAGCACCGTCCACCCTCTGCCACCAAACCAGGTTTGGGAAAGGACCTCTTGAGCCCAGGCAGAGATGCTAATAATTATAAACCGCCTTCATGCAGGCATTTCTCATCCAGCAGTGTCCACATATGTGGATTGATGTACCGAGGGTGTCCTAGGCATGTTGCAGCTTTCTGAAAAGCTTAGCTGGGGGGCGTGGGAGGAGAAGGCCAGTTAACTTCATGCGCTCCTCTTTCCTGTCAAGGGCACAATGGCATCCTACTCTCATTGCTGGAAAGCATCGACAGGCGTTGTCTTTGTTGTGTGCCCGTGAGACTTCCCCGCTGACAGAGAGGCGAGGAATCTCGTATCACGCAGGATGATGCAAATAGAAGAGGGCATTGCAGGCTTCTCTCCTGCTCAGGAAAGATGTTTATTCATCTTTTTTCCTCCCCCAGACTCTAGTACATGATACAATTGCTATTTAAAAATGAATAGATGGCTGCATTTGTGGCTGAGCAGGCACAGCACGGTGGGTTTCTATTTTTAGGCTCAGCACGGCTGGCGACGTGTAGGTGTGGTGAGGAGCACAGAGGCTGAGGGGATTCTCTCGCCGCAGGGATGCGGGGGCAGGCGCAGAGTGCAGCACACGGGCTTTTTTTCTTCAAGCTGCCTCTTTCTCCTGCTCCCTCCCCCTTCTTTCTCCTGCTGCTCAGTCATTCTCTCTTCACTCCCCCACCTTTCCTTCGGGTGCTGCTGGCAGGGAGACAGTCAAACGCCTTTTGAAACACCATGAGTAGCCTAGATGCAGACAGCATGGATAGAGAAAACATCTTTGCACAAATAAATGCCCTTTTTCCTTGATTAGGCAATTTGTGTTTTCTGTGAGACAATCGAGTTTATACTCCGGCTCCCTGCCTGGGCTGTCCCAGGTTGTGTGGAAGGACTGTCCTGCTCCACGCTCAGTGGAGCGTACGTGCAGACCGAGTTCTGCATCGGGTCCCAGCCGCCCGATCAGCATCTCTGTTCTTTGCTGTCTGTCCCTCCTGTCAGCCTTGTCAAACAAAAACTCCCTGAAGTTCAAAGTTACCCCTTGGAATGGCAGCCAGGGTCTCAGCCGAGGCTGCTTCCAGGGAGATCTAGGAGCTCCGCTTTGCCCCAACCGCCTGCCAGGCTAGTGAGGAAGAGGAGTCTGCGGTGCTGGAGCAGGGCTCTTTGGTGCAGCCTTGAGGCTGCGGTGTGGTTGGACGGGCCGGGGTAGAGGACGCTGGAGGGAAGTGGAGGTCAGGATCCTGTTCCCTGACACCCTGGGAATCCTCAGCCTCTGTCCGAAAAGAGGCCTGAAATACAAAATGGCAGGAAGAGTCGAACCCCCGGGCTGCAGGATTCTGTACTGGGACTGAAGAGCTCTGCGCTGCGATTGCCTTTGCCCTCTGCCTTGTCCTCCTGAATTGTGTGCGCACGGGAAAGACAGCAGCTCTCTGAGCTCAACTTCTGAAGGCAGGTGTGTGCATTACAAATCTCCTCGCATCTTCTGGAAGCTGGATGGGAACAGCCACCACTGGAAGAGCTGTGATCCATAAAATCACTCTTGTCTTTTAGAATATGGGATTCCCCGGTTATTTTTTGTTTAGGCTAATCAGAGTTGTCATGTTCGCTGTCTCTAGTGGTCTATTTAAGCTGTGTTTGATCAATGCAGGACTGGCGTGCCCTGGTGAGACTTCTAAGATCAATGCTTCTGCTGATATTGCATGGAAATGCGCCTTGTTAGGTGGATTTGGAGATAGTGCAACTTCAAGGAAACCCAGCGTGAGAGCTTATGTGGTAGAGCAGTACCCTCCTGAAGGCCGGTAAGGAGGATATCGATCCAGAGACAAACACAGCTGGGAAGCAGCGAGTGTCACAGAACAGAGAAGAGTCTCCGCATCGCTTTGCATTACTCGTGTTCTTCCAGGGACCATCTCCTCCCCATCACTGGTTTATGAGCAGGATGATGTTTCCCTGGCAGGGGCTGGTTAGACAGGAGCTGTTCTTGTGCAGGGTCTTTGGGCAACGGCAGGCATACTTGGGGGGGCTATGGGAATTTTCTGGGGCTAGAGCAATTCCTGACTGGGTAATGCTTTGGTTTTCCCCCATGTCAGTGCCACTGAGAAGGGAAAATCCACCATCTACCACCTGCAGCCATGGAAGGGGGTGTGCAGCTCCTCAACCGTGACGGCCACAGCATCTCCCACAACTCCAAGCGGCACTATCACGATGCCTTCGTGTGCATGAACCGCATGCGTCAGCGTGGGCTGCTCTGCGACATTGTGCTCCATGTGGGCACCAAGGAGATCAAGGCCCACAAGGTGGTGCTGGCGTCGTGCAGCCCGTACTTCCACGCCATGTTCACAAGCAAGTAGTGTCCTCTCTTCCCCATGGCCAGGGTCTCCCTGCTCTTCAAACCCTCTCTTCCCTGCAAACCCCTCTGTCCCCTTTCTGTCCTCTCTATTCTCACTGCCCTACGCCATGGAAATACGCTGCCTGTATATCATCTCCTGTGAGCAAGCGCGGTAATATTCCTTGTTTGGCTCCCTTCCACGAAGCCCTCTGCCCGCAGCCCCCTGCACAGGTATTTTGGTGCCCATCCTGCAGACACAGAGCCCATTCCCTAGAATATACTGCTGCTTCTCCTTGCTAAGAGGTGGGCAGGAGACCTTTCTGGGCTGTGATGTGCTGGGCTGTGGAGGTGGCTTGTTCCGTGCATGGTCAAGTCTTCCCGAGGGGAAAGCATACTGCCATGGGACTTTGCTCATGCGTAGTTATCTGTGTTGTCCCAGATGAGATGAGTGAGAGCCGCCAGACCCACGTGACACTGCATGACATTGACCCACAGGCCCTGGAGCAGCTGGTGCAATACGCTTACACGGCTGAGATTGTGGTGGGCGAGGGGAACGTGCAGGTAGGAGCTTCCCCCCCAAATCCCTCCTCTCCACAAAACCGTTCCGTATGAGATATGCCTCCTGGGGGCTCTTCTCTCCCTCTGCTCGGCACTTTCAGCTGTTGTTCTGCGATGGTACCTGCATCTAGCACTGGTCAGGGAGTTCATCTGCCCCCCTGCGCCTGGAGGTGCGTCTCCTGCGGCTGCTGTGGCTGGGAATGGCTCCTCAGAGCACTATGCAATGGCCAGGTCTAGTCCTGAGCATCTGCCATTCTCCTGCCATTTCTGGGCCCTGTGGGGAGTTACGGGTGTCCTTCTCAGCTCTTCTTTAACTTAGTCCTGTTGGAAACAAAGAATGCTTTGTCCTCTATGTGCTTGTGTGCCTGAAGGTGCTCAGTAAGCCTGTTCTGTTACTGACTTGCAGTGAGACAAGGGTGAAAATGGTTTCCTTGCTCTGGAAACTCTCTTTTCCCCCATTCTTTTCCACTGCCAGACACTTCTTCCTGCTGCCAGCCTGCTTCAGCTCAATGGTGTGCGGGATGCTTGCTGCAAGTTCCTACTCAGCCAGCTCGACCCATCCAACTGCCTGGGGATCCGGGGTTTTGCTGACACGCACTCCTGCAGTGACCTCCTCAAGTCTGCGCACAAGTACGTCCTCCAACACTTCGTGGAGGTGTCCAAGACAGAGGAGTTCATGTTGCTGCCTCTTAAACAGGTGAGGTCCTGATGGGAGCTTGAAGGTATGGGTGTCACAAGGCTCTTTGTGCTCTGTCCTGGAAGGCACAGTGTGCATATCAAGAGCCCAAGGAACCTGAACTGAGGGGACAGGATTTGGCAGGGGAATGTACCCAGATTCTGTGCTTTGGTCCTCTCTGTTCAATGGAGAGACAATACACGGAAGGTGCTGTCTGAGAGCGAGCTTAATCCCATGTGAAATAGGGATGGGAGGGTAGCACGGAGGATAATTGCTGTTGCCTGGTGCTGGCCACGTGAGCTCTGAGCACACTGTCCTCTCTCTGGGAGCACGGGCCAAGGAATAAGTCCTGTCTGCCCTGGTCACATAGCTGTGATGTTTAATTCGGAGCTCAGCTAATGTTTCCTGCTGCTTTTCATGTGGTGCCAGTATGGCCCCTGGCTCACCGTGCCTGCAGGGTGCTGTGCCCTGGCCAGCAGGCGTTCCCAGCCCTGGCTGTGCATCACGCGACCCTGCATGGTCCTCACCACACAGGATGCTCAGCAGGATATCCTCACCAGGATACAGACGCTTCCCTTCGCCCCTTCTCGGGGCAGTGGGGTGCGTGGCAGCAAGAGAAGGGTACGTATCTCCACTTGCTCCAGCTCTGTTGTCCTTGGCAGGTGAAGTGAGCGCTGGGAACGGCCAGGGCGCCTGGCTCTGTCCCATGAAATATTGACGGGATGCGCGCAAGCGGAGTCGTTTGCCTGATCTCAGTGATGTTGATTGGAATTGTCAGGCATTGCAGCAGCTTCAGACACAGAAGGGGGGGAATGAGCCAAGGAGGATGATTGAGGGCAGAGCTGTCTCCACACCAGTGCTGCAAGGAGAGGGGAGGCACAGCTGCACCTGCCTGGTTTGGGGGACCTGGTTACTCTTTGGATCCTTCTACGTCCAGTGAGAGAGAGTAGCTGTACACCCCTCAACCACCAGCATCTGCAGGAGCGCAGGGGCTTTACCTCTGGCAGTGCCGTTCTGCTGGGCTAGTTACCTGGGCAAGTGAATGCGTCCTTCCCTGCCAAACCACAGTGACTGACACTTCCCACCCCGCTCTGCAGGTGCTGGACCTCATTTCTAGTGACAGCCTCAATGTGCCATCAGAGGAGGAGGTGTACCGGGCTGTGCTCAGCTGGGTCAAACACGATGTGGACAGCAGAAGACAGCATGTCCCCAGGGTGAGTCTGCTGGGGAAGGTGGCCTGGTTCTCCCCACCAGCTCTGAGTGCCTGGTGTGGGTGGATACATGGCTGAAGGAAGCTGCAGGGAGGTCAGAGGGCAGGGACAGCAGGTCCGGGCATAAATAAGGGTGTTGCTGGGAAAGTTCAGTCTCAGAGTGAAGTCCAAACTATTGACAAATCCGAGAGGGATGTCCTGCCTGACCTCTGGCAGCTTGGGCACAGTGAGCTCTGGGGAGGACGTGGGCGGAAGGAGAGGTCAGCCCTGCCTGCAGCCTTCCTGAGATTTCACGTGCATGCTCAAACAAAAACCTCAGGCAAATTTGAGCAAGGAGTTACTTTAAGTCATGCTTTTGTCTCTCTGCATCTGCACTTTGGAGCATGGATGTGTGAACCTCCTGCCTGCCAAAGGTGCAAGTGGGGAAGACGAGGTTAAGCCTTTCCCTGCGGGGCTGCCAGTGCTCGGCACAGCGTGGGCACCCTCTCACGGGAGCAGCCTCACGCTGCAGTGGAGGCTGTCGGTGCCTCCAGCAGCCCCGGCACTCTGTCACCTCACCGCTTCCCTGCTTCCAGGCAGGCAGTGGGAGGAAGCGTCCCTAGGTGAATTCCCGAAGGCTGGGACTGAGATGGGGCAGGATGAGGAAGGCTCTGAGGGTTTCCCCTGGGTTTCCACCTACCCCAGGGCTTGACCCTAGAGAAGTTGTCTCCACCCTTGCTGGTTGTGTGCACTCAAACATCGCTCCTGAGGGCAATGCAGGCAACATGGGGCATGCTGGGCAGAGGGAGGTGGTGTCTGGGCTCTGCGGCCCCGCGGTGAGGATTGTTACTTGTAGCATGAGTGCTGGAAGAGGATGTGGATACCGACAGAGGGCAAGGTGGGGATCTGGGGAGGCTGTGGGACATGTCATGGCCAGGCTGAGGGCTCCTGGCTCTGCAGAGACATTAAGGCTGAATTGCTGCATGAGCTTTGGAGCCCTTTGTCCCTGGCTGCCCGTCCTGCCAAGCGAGCAGGATGGCATCTCCCGGTGGAGTCAGCCCTGCCGGAGCCCTCAGGGTTTGTAGGGGAGATGTGGGGGGCAGCAGTGGGACGAACCCTTCCCACCCTGCCGATGGGGTGGGACTCCTTTCCCCTCAGCTTATGAAGTGCGTGCGGCTGCCCCTGCTGAGCCGCGACTTCCTCATGAGCAACGTGGACACAGAGCTGCTGGTGCGACATCACTCGGAGTGCAAGGACCTGCTGATCGAAGCCCTCAAGTACCACCTCATGCCGGAGCAGAGAGGGGTCCTTAGCAACAGCAGGACGAGGCCGCGGCGCTGCGAGGGGGCCAGCACCGTGCTTTTTGCTGTGGGTAAGCCCTGCCACGTGCTCACGTATGCGCAAATCCCTTCCCAGGCCCTCGGACTGTTGTTTGCTCTGTTTGCCATCCCGTGCGCAGGTGGGGGGAGCCTGTTCGCCATCCATGGGGACTGCGAGGCCTATGACACGCGGACGGACCGGTGGCACATGGTGGCCTCCATGTCGACTCGCAGGGCCAGAGTGGGCGTTGCTGCTATTGGGAACAAGCTGTACGCTGTGGGCGGGTAAGGAGGGCACGGAGCTGTGCGCAGGGAGCTGGCTGGGATGCCTTTGGCCGCACGAGCTGCTCTAGGAGCAGAGATGGCCGGCAGAACCTCCCAGGGCGCCTCTGCATGAAGCAATCCAGTATGTCTGGGTTACTGACTGCAGGAGCAGCAACTGCAAACTCAAACTACTTCCCTGCCCTTGCAGTTCCGAGCAGCGAGTTTGGTGGTGGCTATGTCCTGGACTTGAGCCGTTTCCTCCCGTTTGCCTTGGCCCGATGCTGCAGGCTGTTAAGAGCCTGCTAACTCCCCAGCCCACCTCTGCCCCAGCGTGCGGGGCCGTCCGAGACCCCCAGGAGAGCTCAGCTAAGGGCTCTGCACTCTCAGCAAGCGCTTTGGTGCACTCTGCCTTGAGGAAGCAGGGCAGGGGGGAGAGGGGAGGGATGGTGACACGGACCCAAGGCTCTTGGTTGGCTCCAGAGCTGTAGGACCAGCCCACAGCCTCACCTACAATCCAGGCTTCCCAGCTCTTACATGTTCTCCCTTTTTCTCCCTACAGCTACGATGGGACCTCTGATTTGGCCACAGTGGAGTCCTATGATCCTGTCACCAATTCCTGGCAACCTGAGGTGTCCATGGGCACCAGGAGGAGCTGCCTGGGTGTAGCAGCGCTTCACGGGCTTCTCTATGCTGCTGGGGGGTACGATGGGGCCTCGTGCCTGAACAGGTAGGGGATTGCCTCGCTACAGGCTCCTCCACTGCTCTTGCATGCACTGTTCTTGGTGTTGGGTGCCTGGGGAGCCCACAAAGCCTGCTCCTGACAGATGGGACTGGCCCCAGAGTAGATGTCTTACAATCCAGCTCTGTCTTCCAGTGTCTTTGGCCTGGGCAAAGTTTCTTCAGGGGAAAAAGTTTTGTAGCCCTCTGCCACAACAGCACGCAGCCTTTGTCAGTTCTTCCCTCCATTTTCCCTGTCTATTCCCAAGCTTCCTTGGGAGCTGCTCCTGAGGGTCTGTGTCAAAGAGCTTTGACCTGGGCTTTGCCAGTGTCACACCTTATGTTCCTGTGTCCCTGCCTGCTGCAGCGCAGAGCGGTACGACCCTCTGACAGGCACCTGGACATCCATCGCTGCCATGAGCACCAGGAGACGCTACGTCCGGGTGGCAACGCTAGGTGGGTGATGGCATGAGGACCTGACTGACTTCTGTGCAGACTGTCTCTGGCATTGCTGGTGGTTCCTTTTGATGTTCTTCTGTTCTAATTCCTGCCCCTTCTTCCTAGATTCCCTAGCTGTGAGTCTGGGTAGCCCAGCCATTCCTCTGCCATGTCCTGACATGCTCCCTGCCTCTGCCCTCCTCCTTGGCCTCCCTAGTAACTGGGTTTCATCACATTCTGGAGGCAACTCCTGAGGGGACCCGCAGCTTGTTCCTCAGCTCCTTTGTGCCGCTTCTACTTTGGAGCAAGAGGGCTGGCTGTGGATGATCACCTGTCCCTGGAAAGGAAGAGGCAACCTTATTACTCCTTTGTTATGAAAGCAGAACAGCCCTTTTAATGATGATCCAAGCAGTAGTGTGGGGTCAAAACTGTCTCTACCAGGGGTGTTACAACATTAGGTGCAATGCTACGATGTCTCCTGACTCCATTGAATGAGTTCTGTCCTTAGGGAGGATGCAGCATGAGAATTGGCCACTTTATTGTTCAGCGCAGCTGTGGGGTTAATGCACGTACCACTCTCCATCCAGCAGGTGCTGGACCTCCCTGGGGATGCCACAGTAGCTCCCTGCTCCCCTCCATCCCAGTGGTGCCTCTCCCTTGCCCTGTTCTCTGGTTTCACTCTCAGTGCTGACTCAGAGATTCCCTCCCCTCCATCACCAGTTCATACTCTCTGCCTGCCACAGCCTTTATTGGCATTCCCCTGCTCCAGCCTCTGCTGCTAAAAATAACCCATTGCTCTGGCGGGGAGCACTTGCAGCTCCCATAATGAGGAGGTCAAGAAGCGGCAGGCAAACGAGCTCTTTGGGAAGCTTGCAGTGTGGCAGAGAAATTGCCTGATGAATATTTCACAATGCTCCGTGCTGCAAGGGGAGGGGGAGCTGGGGGAGCCCCACTGAGAGGAGCGTGGCTGCCTGGGGAGCGGGAGGCACTGCGGCTCAGCTGACACCTATGTGGGCACCCTGTGCAAGAGTTGTGGGAGGCTGTGCTGGGACTGGGGCCGTGCTTTTTAGCTAACGCCTGTGTGTGTGACTGTCTTTGCAGAAGGCAACCTCTATGCCGTTGGGGGATATGACAGCTCATCCCACTTAGCCACAGTAGAAAAGTATGAGCCCCAGGTAAATACAAGAGAGCATGTCTGGTAATCCTTTTCCTTCTCCCCTCCTGATGGGTGCCTAAAAGGCCCTGCAGAAGGCTGAGGGTCACGCAAGTTGCTAGAGAGCTTAGCAGACAGTGCGAGATCAGCTATACGTGGTCTCTTAGCAAACTGCTGCTGTAGCTTAAGCTGTGACTGCTTCCTAGCAAAGTATTGCAGCGGCCGTGAGCAGAGGGTGTGCCCACGTGAGCCTGTGCGGCACAGACCTGCCTGCCCCGTCGGAGACTGAGGCCACCATGAGTGACTATGAGATGGAGTGGGTATCAGCCCTCCCTGCAGCTCTTCTGCAGGGGCAGAGAGGGTGCAATCCAGAGCAAAATGAGCCAAAGCTCGTCCATAGAGGCTCCAAGATATCTCTTTGAGATTTTCAACCACCAGAACACTCTCTATCCCCATTGCCTGCAGGCCAGCTCAGATTCTCTAGGAAGAGCAGTTCTTGTTCGTGCCCTGAGCTGTTTCCAGCTTCTAGCTGAGGTCCTTGCTGCACGCACATCCAGAGCGGCTAGCAGGGATTGTGGCAGGCTGGGGACGTGTGTTGGGCCCGGGGTCTCACAGCTCTGTTAGGGCAGGCTAGATCACTGCAAAAAGATCAAAGAGAAGGTCCTGGGGGATTTCATGAGCTGTAAAGCCACAGTTGTGAACTTGTACAGATTTGAAATAGATACAGCTCAACCCCCGTGACTGGGCTGGGATTCAGCTGTGACGTGACCGGTGGCCAGGCAGAGAGATCTCCATGCTCAGGCCCCTGGGATGGCAGGGCTCCTGCCAGCTGTGGCTGGGGGGTTTCCCATGCCAGCTGTGGCTGGGCTTTTCGGAGCCAGTCGGCAGAGATCTCTCCTGGGGCTCTTCCTGCGGACGAGTTCAAGGCAGAGAACTGAGGTCCCCCCAGAAGACTGTTACATCAGGAGCTGAGTGGTTAAAGCAGGACTAACGTCACAGCGCTGGGTTGGAAAGGGTACGTGGAAAAGGACTTGTACATCTGGCTCACAAACAAACATTGCCTCTTCCCAGATCAACACCTGGACGCCCATTGCCAATATGCTAAGCCGCCGGAGCAGTGCGGGAGTGGCCGTGCTGGAAGGGATGCTCTATGTGGCTGGCGGCAATGATGGGACCAGCTGCCTTAACTCTGTTGAACGCTACAACCCCAAAACCAACACATGGGAGAGCGTGGCGCCTATGAATATCCGTAGGTAAGGAGCTCTGCCCCTGCCACACTCCCGAGCTGCTGCAGTCAGGAGCGGGGATCCCATCGCACCGAGCGCCTTGCCGTGCTTGGCACCGCAGACTGTAAAACGCAGCCCGTGCCCCAGGGCCTGGCTATGGCTGCAGCTGGCTGGCTCTGTGCTCCCTGCTGCACTGCGAGGGACTGGTGCGCGTGTGCCAGGAGGGCAGAGCAGGGACATTCTGCAGCAGGCGTTTTCTGCAGACGGATTTATTCTCAGCAGTCCGCGTGGCCGTAAAGAACCAGGTGGTGTAGCTGGCTGAGGCCGCTTAGGAGATGTTGCTTGGCTGCGGGAGGATTTAAGGCTTTGAAGTCCAAGGATGTAAGGCTCCTAGGGCCTGTTATTTAGAGGTGGCACCTCTCCGGTGGGAGGAGGGTATCAGGGTGATGGGGAAGATCGCTATACTGCACTCTGCCACTGACTGTTTGCACCCCGGTAGTTCATTTCCACTGGGCATTTGTGAGGCTGGGCACTCCCTTTTGTGGGTGGCAGAGCTCTGGCCAGTTCATCTGAGATGCTGAGCTACCCTACGCCCCCCCCACGCCACGTTTGAACCTCACACCCCTGTGGTCTCTGCATGGTCGTTCCAGGAGCACCCACGACCTGGTGGCCATGGATGGGTGGCTGTACGCAGTGGGTGGCAACGATGGGAGCTCCAGCCTCAACTCCATCGAGAAACAAGTGGGTAGCAGCCTCGTGCATGTTCACACGCCGGAGCAGCGTGGGGGTGGCTGTGCTGGAACTCCTCAACTTCCCACCCCCCTCCTCGCCCACCCTGTCGGTGTCTTCGACGAGCCTTTGACAAAGAATCAAGACCTACCTTACCTCAAGGGGACAGGGGCGCCTGGCGCAGCGCTAGGCCAGCGTGGCCCGCCCCGCGGGGCAGCCGGTCGCTTTAGGAGGAGAGCGAAGGTACCGGCTGGGGGCTCCCGCACCCCACAC